AGCAATCTTATACTTGACACTAACCATATTCTAATATTTCTAGGTGTTGAAGTTCAAAGACAAATAAGACGCAGTTGCAGTTCTTGAGATATCTGTCATCTGATGGATGAAAGAAACACAAACAAATGTTTTGAAGTGAAATAAAAGAGAATGTGAAGTCATACCATTGCCAGACACAAAGGAATACCTGTGACAGTGCCAACTTGTAATGCAGCCACTAACTCAAAGGGGGAGGTGGGCATAAGACAGGGAGTAAATGGAGGGGTGAATAGTAAGAGCTAATTAAATGCCTGTTTACTGGATCTTGAAATTATTGGAGATTTTTGTCAAATGTTTAATTTTCATATGCAATCTAGAATATTAGTACAATTTTGCATATTACATTTAGAGAGTAACATGTTTGTATAATAACATTAAAAATTTTTCTAATTTTTCTGTATATTATATGCACTAAAACTTTGTAAAATATATTAACTCCTCTTCCAAAAATCAATAATCTATCATCTTGTAGAAGGCACTTGTTTGCTCAAAGTTACATGTAGATAAAATTCTATGACCTTTCTTTCCTTGTAGGTGATATTTTGATGAGAGAAAGTGCATAGCAAGAGACCTCCTATTTATATGAAGGAAAGTACAGCTTTTAGACTCCTAATGCTTAGTGGAGGAGAATTTGACTGAGCTAAACATGTTGAAAATTCAGCCTTGATAGCTGGAAAAGATAAATGAAATCCAGTTTTTCTGCCTGAGTCATTATTTAAATTCCTGCTTGGGATTAGGATAGGCCTTGAAGGCATCACCTTCTATAGATCATCTGCCTTGCTCCTAGATGCTTCCATTTATACTGGGTAAGTTTGCCCCAGCAGAGATGATTTATAGGGGATGATATTCCTTGTATACGGTAAATGTCACTAAATTATACCAGGAAATTTAAAAAGCAATTAATTTAGAAAAAAATTAAGTATATGAATAATTTTAAAAATCCTAGAAGTTAATAATAGTTCAGTTCCATCTGTAATGTTACAAAATTGAAAGCCCTAGATATAACTTCTTGAACAACTGCTCAGAAATCTGACTTTTAAAAATTGCCAAAGAGCAGAGAACTGGAATGGGAATCATATGGTGATGCGTATGACAAAAGAATAAGAAGTTATGTAATTTTTTTCCTCTGGATTGATTGTCTTAGAGGTTGGAGTCCTGGTTTCCTATGTAAAGGTATACAACTCATTTTTGATGCCTAAATACTAAGTGAATAACTCAATTATAATCTATCATCAAATTAAACATGAAAATAGACTTTTTATTTCAACTTAATAAAAATATTTTATATTAATTGAACATGTACCTACTATGTGCAAGGCACTGAGTGAAATAAACACGTAAGGAATGCACAGGATCTGCTCTCAAGGAATTTTAATCTAGTAGAAGAAAGAAAGCAGACACTCAGGAAAGGATGGAGCACATTCCAAATAGTAAATTACAGACTTTCAGTGAGTAATAAAAGCATGCTAAGGCACTCAGAAAGCAGAGTATTTCCAGCTTTGTTAGTCCGGAGACTTTTAATGGAGGTCATGAAGGCAATTATATTTGAACTGCCTCTTGAAGAATGAGTAAGATTTGAATAGATGTAAATGAGTGGGAAACTTTTCCACAGAGGAGTATTAGTAAACATGTAAATAGGAAAACACAATTGAGCTGACTTGGCAGGCTACAGATGACAAATTCATGGAAGACAGTTAGGAGGAAAACTGTTAAGGGAGGTTGGGACCCTGTTTGTAACGGGCATTGAAACCTGTGCCAGGAATGTAGACTCTAATAACCATCGATATCACAAGCCCTTCGCAATAAGCGAGGGAGTTGTATGATTGAAGCAGTGCTGTGATAGTTCTAGAAAGATTCCAGAGGAGAGCAGTGAAGCAAGAAGGCTGTAAAGATGCTGTTAAGTGTCTAGGCACCACATCTCAAGATAAGGGGACTGGGGGCAGGGGATTTTTAGTTAGATCTATTTGTATAAAATGAATAAAATATGGAGAGTGATTAGACATTGTTGGTCTTAGGAACAATACAAAGAAAAGTAATGACTCCATGAATAAAAATACACAGGTCTGGAGAGAGAACTGGAAAGGGCAATACAAATGGAAATTCCCACTATATTGTTTCTTATAAGGAAAGAAATTTTAGAGCTACATCACTGCTGAAGGAAAATATTTGTAGTCATCAGTACAGCTATGAAAGTTGAAGCCAAGAGGGTGGGCAGGCTTCTTATGGACTCCATACAAGATGAGAAGAGTCATATAGCAAAGGCTGTGATTAGGGCATGCCCACAATTAATCCCATAAAGAATCCAGTAGAGGACAAGGGAATGAGTTTTCAAAAAATTAAAAGGACTAAAAGAGATAGAGTATTACTGAATCTAAAAACGTCTTAAAAAGAAAAGTTGGTAGTTTTCTAAGGTACAACAGAAAGATAGACAAAGTAAGGACTGGCAGCCAGCCATTCTAACGTACGGTTATGAGGTGCCTGTAGGATTCTAAAGGTGCAGGTTTCAGAAAGTGAAGAATAAGGGGGAGTACATGCATAATTCAGGCCTGACAGGTTATCAGTTTTGGTTTCTCTCCATTCAATCATTCACAACATATTTGTGGAGCACCTCCAATGAGCTTTAGGGGTTGGGGATATAGCAGTGGACAAAACAAATTCTTTCATGCTTCTTATATTCTAACAGAGAAACAAATGTATATCAAGTGGTGATGAGTTAAAGAAGAAAAACAGGAAAGAATGGGGATATCTAAGGGGTTCATAGTCCCCAACTTAAAAGGGGATGCTTTTTTTTTTTTGTAAATCATTTATCTTTGGCTGCGTTGGGTCTTCATTGCTGTGCGCGGGCTTTCTCTAGTTGTGGCGAGCGGGGGCTACTCTTCGTTGCGGTGCGCAGGCTTCTCACTGTGGTGGCTTCGCTTGTTGCAGAGCACGGGCTCTAGGCACATGGGCTCAGTAGTTGTGGCTCGCAGGCTCTAGGGCGCAGGCTCAGTAGTTGTACAGCACGGGCTTAGCTGCTCCGCAGCATGCGGGATATTCCTGGACCAGGGCTCGAACCCATGTCCCCTGCACTGGCAGGCGGATTCTTAATCACTGTGCCTCCAGGGAAGCCCCGGGGATGCTTTTTCTTCTCTTATTTACCAGTGTTCCATCTTTGCATCAGACTCAAGCACGGCCACAGGCTTATTTCAAGAATTATTGAAAAACTGCAAAATGCCATTGGAGAATGGAGTCACTTCTTGGCCTTGCCCTTTCTTATAGAACACACTCCTTAGAATGTATGACTCTATTCATGTAGCTTATACAGAAGAATTAGCCCTTTCTGCAAAATTTAAAAATTTTGTAGAAGCTGTGGGTAGAAAGATAAAACTGAGGAAATACAAGGAAATACAGTGCCAGTCCCAAGATATCTTTTTCTCTATGTCTGTCTTAACAGATCAGGAAGAAGATCAAGTTATTTTATTTTAAGGAATTGGTTGCCTTAGGACCATATTAACACAACACACATGTGCCTCCTACTGACATGGCTTGAGCATATTTTCATCTAAACTCAGTGGAGTGAACAAATATGAAAGCTTCTACAATAATTCATGGTTAATAATAATTCAAGGGCTTCCTTGGTGGCGCAGTGGTTGAGAGTCCACCTGCCGATGCAGGGGACACGGGTTTGTGCCCCGGTCTGGGAGGATCCCACATGTCGCGGAGCGGCTGGGCCCGTGAGCCATGGCTGCTGAGCCTGTGCGTCGGGAGCCTGTTGCTCCGCAACGGGAGAGGCCACAACAGTGAGAGGCCCGCATACCACACACACACAAAAAAATAATAATAATAATTCAAAGTCATAGCCTTCAGCCTGCACAAATAAGAAATGCATAGGCAAGCTTTGATTTAATTTAACACTTTTGCAAGGTCAGTTTGCTTAATAAGGAATATGAATGAATAAGGAAACCATGAATAAGGAAACCATGTTTCAAGCAGGACAGAAATCAATGCTGAGTGCTGGAGAGAAGGCCCTTTCACTACCTTGATTAACCTTGCACTACCTTCTTAAAATGAATATATCTATAAACACAGGAAATTTCACACTTCCCCAGACAGAAGGTAATTAAAATTGCCTTATGTGTCTGTTTAGTGGAGGATATGTGATGATATCCTGCCTTTATTTAAAACAACCTTTGGTATTAAATGTTGTCTTACCTAAAAAGCAATACGGCAGAATGACTTTTATTACAGATGGTAATTTATGAAAAATGTAGCCAAAGGAATTGATGTCAAACTTTTGTCTGCAAGCTCTATTTACTTTCATATTGCTCACTATTTACCAAGGTTTGCTATAGCACTAGGCACTATCTCAGCTGGCATTCTGCCTGTTTCTATTTTTTAAAGTGGTTTTGTTTTTTATTCTCATACAGCATTGGAGCTAATTACAGCTGCTCACTCTTCTAGTTCAACCCCCAAAGCTCTCCGTTTTCTTTGGGTTTTGCTTTCACTCACAGGCATAATATTTTTTTTTCCATTTTGTGTCTGATCCTCTTTCATATACAGCCAGGAGAGGAGCGTCCTCTGCCACAGAGAATGAAAAGGCTTTTAGAACTAATTTTCATTTGCTGTGCAGTGCCCATGGCGTTCTTGGAGTGTGTGATGTGCTATCATCAGGTTTTGATTATGCAATTGAAATGCAAAAAGTTTAAAATCTCAGCTTTATTGGCCTTAGCAGTTTGCACTCTTCCAAAAGCTCTGTTAGAACAAATAAATGATCACATTTGGTTTAAAATTACTACATGTTTTCAGGAAAGGAATCTAATAGATGATGCTTAGAGAGAAACTGGTGTTTTGAAATTTTACACTGTATTTTTATGCAAATTTTGTTCATTTTTTTTCTGTTAAAAATTGTCTTATTTGAATATGATTTAAATTTGGAAAAAGTGCCCAGATGTACCTTGTCTCTCAATTTGCTGGCAGAGACCTGGGAGGATAGATCTTTATCAAAATATTCTACATAGAAGTAAATGCAGTAAAAAAAAAACAACAACTGGCTGTTTGTACTTTTTTTTCACCTTGCAAGTCTTCCACTTCACATCACTCTGAACGGGAGGGGACCTTGGATTATTGTAAAAAGCAAAACAATCTGTTTTCTTGGGAAGGACCTAAAAATCTGTGTATCTGCATGGATATGTGAGTGTGTGTGCGCCCACCCCTTATTCTAGGCTAATCAAGAAAAGACTTCGGTAAACATGCAAAATTAGAGCAACTTCAATTAGGTTTTAAGGGTCTTGTAGTTGCATCCATGAGACTAGACTAGAAATTAAAAATGAGCTCTACTGTAGGGGATGTGGCTTTGCTGTATTTTCTCTTCCTCCACTGATTCAGATATTGCTTGGTGTCTTAGAAGCTGATGTAGGGAGAAAAAGACTGGACTATAAGAAAGTAAGGAATAGTTGAATTCCTTTTTTCTTAAATTTTTGAGGCTTTGATAGTCACATTAAAATAATTTTGTGGCCATTTTAGAAGTAGGAGAGCAAATGCTGAATTACAAGATTCTTATGTAGTTTATATTCATATAAGACATCATGCCTAAACTGAGACCTTAAAATAGCTTATGCCACATTTGAATTAGATACATCAAGCATCCTTGGAAATAATAATGATCAAGTTAACCTGCCATGAAGCTTGAATATAAATCTCTGTATTAGTTTAGCAATGTTGACCTCACTACCTTACAGTCTAATCATGAGAATGAGATCTGTATGCGACAGTGTACTAACACCAAAGAAACTTGGGCAAAAAAAAATGAACTTCAGCTTCCTTACAGAATCAGAGATCAAAAGATCTGTTCCATTAAACTTTGAACCAGAGAAATTCATCTGTCTGCCCCAGTGCCTAGTGTCAATCAGTGACCCAGCTTTAGCTGGATTACGGTTAAGCCTGAATGGTCATGCAAGAGAGAATTTCAGACAACCAGTCTCCAAAGAGATTCCTATTCTAAGAATCAACATGAAACAGAAATACGCTTAGGTTTTTGCTGTGTAGCAAAGAAATCTTGTTCACCTTTAAAGACATAGTGAAAGAACTGTATACTGTATTTGTCCTACACATATACATACAAAAATAGGATAATCATTAGAAATGTGACACAAATGGACATTTTGTTTCATGTATTTCTTTCTAAGGATTTGGGGCCTTTCTTTGCTCTCTTAATTTGCTTAATATAATTTAAACCAAGATTCCAATAGGCTATGGTATTAAGAAAACTTCTAAGAATCTAAAGTCTCATTGTGTCTTTACAGCTCATATAATTACAGCCAGTTTATTGAGGAATTCCAACTCACTGGAATATCAAGAAGTAACTGTTCCCTACCTGTGTCTCGTTGAAGCCTCCCTTTTCACTGATGAGTCAATTTCTTTGCAACAACTTACTCAAATTCTGTAACTTCTCAGTTATATCAGTTGTTGGAAAAGTCTCAAATTTGATATTAAAACCTAGTCTTATTCATTATGAAAGTTCAATATCATTATCAGTTTCAGTTCTATTGTTCACTTTTAAATATGCAGAATCAGAAAATCAGATTGAGATTCATACATGTTTAATGGCATCAACTGAGGAGTTGATCATGTGGTACACGTTGAAAAGTACAGATAAAATAAGGTCTGAATTTAAAAACATTGTGATTTTAATCTTAACATGAATGCAATGAAATAAAGTCCACATATATCCTGTTGGTTAACTGCGCTATCAGAAGACAAATTTAATTTAGAGGATACACTGATTCTAAATGAAATGAGTCATGAGATGAGAAGTTTCAAGATTTGTGACTCCTGTGGCCATAATTACATATGAAATCTTTGAACATGAGTAAATTTCTATCTTTAAGCAGAGTGTGGAGAGGGTTTAGACTGGTATCTTTTGAATACATACATATATATATATAATTTTATAGTAAATTAATGTAGACTGAAATGTCTGTCTTTTAGGTAGAGTCAATTTTATTATAAGCATGTGGTGCATCAAAATATTAAACTGTATACATAAAAACCTGGATAACTTTTTCACTTATTTGAAAGTAGTTAAAATAATTATTTTCTAACAGAATGCTGATCAGATATTAAAATCTTTATCCTAATTGCAAAAACACCCAAGAGATGGAAAGCGTGTTGACCTGAGTTCTGGATCATGGGTTAGAAGAGGAAAATAGATGAAGGATAACTAGAGATCATGGTGAGACTGAAGTGTCATCTGTGTATCTGCACAGTGTCTGTCATCATGGCACCTGGGCATGACAGGGAAATACGCATGCACACAGTCATAGGACAGCTTTGAGGCTCAGAGTCCTGGTGACCTCAAAGATCTGAGAACTTGGAGTGGTTTTACGGATTTCCCTTTCCAGTCTTCGGCTTAGCTTCTAATATGACTCATTAACAAATAGTAATCACATAACAGTTTTCACTTGGGTGCTTATAACAAAATGACCCTCTCCACTTTACAGCCTCTACTTAAAGACAAAAAGTGCTTAATGCCTAAGTAGAAATAGCTCCTGTTCATTGCCTTTTTGCATATAAGGAATGAGACTGTGACTGATGTTTATGGCAAAGAGTTTTTATTAAATAAGAGTCTTTGAGCAGCAGAATAATTTGAAAAGGAATTTGAGTTCATTTAAGAACATTGCCTCACTTTTCTCCAAACACTCTCGTGTTCTCTTCTAAAGATGTTGCTTGGCAGCCCTGTCATCTTCATCTGATTCAGCCTCCTAATTATTTTGCTTTAATGGAAGAAACTCTGATAACATATTCATAAATAAATGCTTATGAAAACAGCTCATTTATCAGTGCCTCTTTG